TCTTTCTTTCTTCCTTCCTTCCTTCCTTCCTTCCTTCCTTCCTTCCTTCCTTCTTTCTTTTCTTTTCTTTTCTTTTTTTCTTTTTTCCTCTCTCTCTCTCTCTCTCTCTCTCTCTCTCACACACACACACACACACACACACACACACACACACACACACCTGGCCTGGGACAAACTGAATGATCTGGTGAGTTCCAATCAGCAGTGGGTGGCGGGCAAAGGAAGAAAGGGGGGCTGGCATGTGGTGGCAGTGGGGCCTTGAGCACCTCCCCGGCCCTCCTAAAGTACCTCCATGTACGGTGGTGGTGGCAGCAGCAGTGGGACCTTGAGCACCCCCCAGCCCTCCCAAAGTACCTCCATGGGTGGTGGGGGTGCTGCTCCAACCAGGAGGGCAGGGACCTGGCTGCCTCCCATAAGCAGAGTCGTCACCGCAGCACCTCCGCCACCTCTGCCTGCTTCTTTTTGTTTTGCCCCCAGGAGAAGTGGGCAGAGGTGGCAGAGGTGCTGTGGTTATGGCCCTGCTTAAGGGAGGCAGCTGGGTCCGCTGCCCTACTGGTCAGAGCACTGCCGCCGGAGCTCACTGCGCCGCAACTGCCACATGGTAGGGAGAGTTGGGAGAGCACCGCGTGGCAGCTTAGCCAGCCAGCTGAGCTTGGGATGGGGAGGGCAGGTAGGTAGGTCCCAACCAGTGCCACCAGAAGGATGGGGCTGCGCTGGTGGGGAAGCCAGCCAGCTGAGTCCCGGGATGGTGGGGGGGGCAGGTACATAGGCCCCAGCCAGCATCGCTGGTGGGATGGCGCTGCACGATGTTGCACATATGTGATAGGGACTGACTGGGCAGGGAGTGGAGAAGCGGGTGGAGAGAGGTGGGGCCAGCCAAAGGCCTGATTTACCAGTTCTCCGAACTACGGAGAATCATAACTGTTAGGAATATAAGTCACCTGACAGGTATTTGGGTTGGAAATATATAAACCAGGATAGATATTTTAAAACTGTATCTTTAAGAAAATGCAAAAAGTGTAATTAGGTGTGGTTTCTCAAACGGCCATAAGATGAAGCCAGAAACCTGGGTTGTCTTAGTCTTAGTCTCAGAAGAAGTCTCAGTGAGTCTCTTTTTCCTTCTGTTGGAGAGTATTGCCGTTCCTCCATTTTTCCTCCTAATTGACTGATATTCCTGGATTTGATGTAAGTCTGATACTGACTCTTTTTGACACTGGACTTTGTTATTGGATTATCCCTGGACTAAAAACTGACTGATCTTACCTGTGAATGACTTTGGACTGCTTGTTTTGAACTTTGCTTAAACCTTCATGGGAAGTAAAAAACTACATTTACTGTACAGTGTATCTGTGTGCTGTGTGTGTATTATTCAAACACTTCTCTCACTACGTCTCCCTGTATGCGCTCAGTCTCCTAACGGGTAATTACCTCAACAATAACAACTGGTTCTACTGAACCAGTCAGAACTGGTAGAACCCCACCCCTGTTCAAAATGTTAGAAAAACTTTGCCAAAATGCAACAGGCTTGGTGTTGCTGATGATTATGTTAAATCTGCAGGGATTTTCGACACAGTGCAGTACTGGAGACATCGGTCTTCTCTTTGCAATGTTTACAACTGTGCAGAACAGGGCTTAGTAGTCTTTCTGCTGCAAAAGGAGGAATGAGATGTTGGTGCTCTAATATATGGGGAGGCTGATGAAAATGAAACCCCAGCATTCTGAGAAGGTTGCAGATTTGCTATCCTGCATTAGATTTGTTTTATTATTATAGCCTATCATCCCAGATTTCAAAAACCAGGTAATATAAGAAGTCTCAAATATAAGAATTAAACAAAAGATTGTACTGGAACTTATTGGTTAATTCTTACCTTCTACAGTTTTGTAAGCTCATCTAGCTTTCCAATAGCTGCCATTGAGAATGAGTTCCAGAAATATTTTGTTACTGCAAATCGGTGGTTATCAGCTGATCAGCTAACATCACCACAGAATGCTACTGATTTACGGTATGTTTCAGATGCTTAGCTTCAGAAAGACATGCAAATGGGCTCCATGGACTTCCATGGAACTGCAGAATCTAAACCTATAGTATCTGCATGCATGAACCATCATATAATGCTGTTAGATAAGATGTCCTGTGTGACTGGGCCTTTCCCATTTCTCAATTGGCAAATTGGTAATATGCATTGATTCCTATTCTAAAGGAAATGTTCATTGATTTGAATATTTTCCCATCTTCAGTTGAATAGAACAACTAAAATAAATGTCATTATTCATTTCAATTCTCATTCCTAAGCCTTTGCAGGGGAAAAGTAGCAATGAGCTTATTAAAATGGCCATCTCTTCCTGGAGTTAATTGTAACATGTGTCCATGCCAAGGCTTTGTGTAAGTAATGCGACCTCTCTCATATCCAAAATCATGTATATATAGTTGATCCATGGTCTGGACATTCTTGGGATCAGAACACCAAAGAATTTATATCGGGGAGATTCCATTTTACCCTGTTAGGATTTTGATATGGAAAGGAAGCACTCATACATTAAATTAAGTATCTCTTTCCATATATCTGTGTGGATGTATGGATGGAAATTCAGACTTCCAGTGATAGACTCATATTGCTGTTGGTGAAGACTATGCTGACAAAATACAGGATTGAGCCAATAATCTTTTTTTGTTTAAACCAATCATTGTCAATCTAGTCCCTTTCAAATGTATTTTGAATGTATCTCCAAGGGAGATGGGCAATTAAGAAATATGAAAAGGAAGGAAGAAAGGAAGGAAGGAAGGAAGGAAGGAAGGAAAGAAAGAAAGAAAGAAAGAAAGAAAGAAAGAAAGAAAGAAAGAA